ACCGATTTGGATCGGGTTTTGGAATTTCGTTTTATAATCGTTTAAAGTACTTACATCTACATTTATAGTAGAATTGGACAATTTCTTGCCTGTCAGTTTGACACTTCCAAATTACCTCGATTTTCATCAATTTCTTACGTCGTTTTGGCTATTTAGCAACAAAAATATGATATGCGCAGGTATCAAAACAATTCTATCTTATAGCAAATTTCATAACAAACAATTTTACCAGTAATAGTTTTTTTCTGTAAACTGCATATTTAAGAAGTTATGTTGGAAAATGTTAAAAAAAACACGTCATTTTTGAGTATTTTTGCAGTTTTTAATTTTTTCTGCAAATAGCACAACTTTTTTTCTTGGCGCAACCTTATATTTTCATTGTATATATTATTTTCGACCGATTTTTACTAATATCCAAGTTACGTCAAGCAACAGCCATGTCAATGTGTAATTCTCCTGGACTATAATAGCTTTGACTGAAATAAAAGTTATATTAGTTCATGTACTTAATTTGTTTTGATTGGCACACCTAATAAAATTAGTAATTGTCATTAATCAATAACCAAAAATGAATAATGACATTTTTCATTAGCAAACTTACCTCAGAATTCGGAATACCATACAATATACAAAACCTTAATCATCCTAAAACCATGGTACTTCAACAAATTTGTACCCTTAGTTTGTTAAGATGCATGGGGCTCATCAAGTGTTCCACCCTGAGGCATACATGAATAGAATTAAAAACGCTCGCCAATATCCTTGGCAAGAAAAATGACCTTGAGCGGGACTATCGCTCTCTGTAGGCCCGGACGAAAGTAAAAGAATTAATTAATTTTCACACTATGGATGACCTTTAAGAGCATTAAATTCATTCAATTCGCCCTCTTTAGTGTTCCACAGTATTTAGTTCCTCTGTGTGTAAACATTTTGTCTTATATAAATTACTTAGTTTCTGCAATTTTTTTATAATAAACGATATTTTTTCATAATTTGTCGAAGGCTAAATACCAGAATAGTTTTTAAATTCTTATTTTTAAGACCCTGTCGTCTCTAGCATTCGTGGTACTTATTGTAAATGTAAATGTATTTCATACATTTTTATTATTACTGGAAAGTGCTTACCACAGGCTGCAAAAAGAAGAACCAACAAACATACCAGATATAACTTCATCTTAACTGACATTTGATCACGATAATTAATTTTATATATAAATGCCTTATATCAGCATATTAGCAAGTTCTCAAAATACAAGAACAAGTAACAAACAATAAAACTTTTTCGTAATAAGTGCTTAAAAGTTAAAGTACTCAAGTAGGGAATCCCAAAATTCGATAAGATTTTATTTAGAACTGCCATCACCTGATTCAAAATACCTAAACAATAAAAATAATTATTATATGGAGTAGGTAGTTCTACGTCGCCCGTAGAATGTCAATGATCACAACTATTCCAAATTTCAAAAACTCAACTATCTCTATAACTTTAAGCAAATACTATTCATTCATTCAGTAGAATATGCAAAATTACAACAAATAATTATAATCAGCAGCTTTACAATCATTTAAGTACCTACCATATTATCTCTCATCGAAAAACAACATTCTAGTAATCAGTAAACTATTACAAGTAGTTTTAAAGATTATTATTGACCAAAAACATATGTGCAGGTAATCTGTTAGATATTATCAAGTGATAAGGCCGACAAACGGAAGATCGATGGATAGGCTGACAGATTTTTAAAAATAATTTCATTTAATATTTTGACTACAGCTTGAATCATCATTAATTTGAGGTATTATGTTTACGACTTTGTACTTACTTTTATTGTGAGAAAGACTTGCCTATTCCTTAAAACGATAATGAAGCTATCTGAGGGCAAATTCGAGTGTTTAGTTTCTCTTCATTATTTACGAATGGCGAGAATTACATAGTATCGAGCTGGAATATTGATAATTCATTATCATATTAATAGAAACTGCTCGGGTTTTAAGGAATTCATCATTCTAATTTGTCTTATCTGGTGGCACCAATTTGTTTTAATAGTATTTAAGTTATCTCTAAATTATTTACTTTATTTCAATTAACGCTACTCTCAATATAATCTAAACAAAGATAATTATAGTATTGCATCACTACTAAAGAATATTTCTCAATATATTAATTATATGTACGTTTTCTGTACATTTTTAGTGGTTCAACATCTAATTTAGAAACTCCTATTGTTCAATAAATTGTACAATTAATTGTCTAATTAGGACCCTAAATATTTACAAAAATAGATGGAATAAGATACAATTAACTATGTTTATTTACTTCGTTTCCATTTAATTGTGAAAAATTCGTCTGGACAAAACCTGACTACGGTCCTGTCTCTTTTTATTTTGTTAGCTTAAGAAATGTTATGCAACCAGATATACAGCTAAATATTATGTGGACGGTAAACTTTTAGCTTATAACACAGATTTCTACTATAGTCAAGTTTCTACACTGACAGTGAACTGTTTGTGTGAATTTCTTACGTAGAGCTAGCGTACATGAGATGGCTCTCGTGAGGGTAGCACGAATGAATCACACCATTTTGCGTTGAATGGATTGGTCCACGACCGAGATAGTAGGTCGGTAGTGGGCAGTAGTAGCTCAAACCGCAGTAGTCCGTGCGTTCTTTTGCTTCAGTTTGCCATTTATGTTTTGTGTAGTTTGCCAACCTTTTTGACAAATGGCCGATTTTGACAAGTAAACTAGTGCGTCAAAGCGGTGCGAAGGATACTACCTGCGGCTGCGATGATCAGGCGTTGAAAATAATGTGGTGTGATGTGCGACAGTGGTGAAGTTATCATAATAAAGTCGAAATCAGCAGGAATACTCTACAACAACGAAATGACACTTATCCCCGAGACAAACGTCCAAAGTAACGAGCACTCAAAATTGAAACGGACCTTTACATTGCCTAGGAATCCGTTCGGTTCGACGAGGATGTCGAAGCGGAGACCGAAAACGAAAGAAAGCGACACGGATTTGAAAATAGTCACAAACGAAGCCGACATGAATAATAAGAAAGTGTTCAGGCGGCCCTCCATACGAAAGTTCATCAACAAAATAGCACAGCATATTGGGGGAGTGCCGGGTATCAATCAGACTATGGAAAACAACAGGGTGCCCCCTGTGGGTTTACAGACTTGGGGGCCCGACGACACGCCGGGCGTCACGGGGCTGAAAAACCACGGGAATACTTGCTTTATAAACGCGGTTTTACAGTGTATTTCTCACACCGATGTGCTAGCAGAATATTTTGTTTTAGACAGGTATAAGGTGGACTTGTCGCGTAGGAACAAACTCAACTCCAAGAAATTTGGGACCAGGGGGGAAGTCACCGAACAGCTGGCTCTCCTATTGAAGGCCCTTTGGGCTTGTCAATACAACCCTGAAATGAGCACAGCTTTCAAGCAGGTCGTCGAGAGACACGGCACCCAGTACAAAGGGACCCAGCAACACGATGCCTTAGAATTCCTGCAGTGGTTGCTCGATAAGGTCCACGAGGACCTTAACACTGCTTCGAAGAAGAAGTTCAAGTCTATAAAGGTAAGCTTTCCCTTTTTTTAATTTGACATGTATTGAGGTTAGGTATTAAATGTTGAATTGATAATAAATAATTATTGACATAGATAAAGCTACGCTAGCAAACATGACACATTTTTAGGATTAATATGTATTGCAAAGATTTACAGAACTTTACAACCAAAAAACGTGTCAACGTTTGGAAAAGTTGGTGCATTAATATTTAAAATATGATGTAACATTTTATAATGCTTCAAGCACAATAAATTAACATTTGCTTAATAGTATGCGGTGAAAAATATATTTATTTTCGAGTCAAATTAAGTCATATATCTTTTTTTAGATTGTCTCAGTCTAAACGCTTTTAGAAATTGGAATGTAAACAGAGACCTACTTTAATACCACTAATTATGATTAAGTTAATTAGAGAGAAATTCTTTTGTCTTATTAAATATGCAATGGGGTACGGTTAACAGATGTATTACTATTGACGATAGATTTAACGGTCGAAGAGGTATTTATAGAAATAAAAATTAATATAGATTCATTGAGGAAATCAATAACGTCCTCTAAAAATAATTCATTGCCTTGATCGTAATAGAAAATAATTCATAATTAAGTGACTAATAACTTGTTGTTGTTGACTAATAGCATTAGGTTATTTTTGTCCAGTAAAAATTTGTTCTTTTCCATTTATCTGCATTTATACGGTTTATTTTTATCTGCAATAAAAGTTTTCTTGTTTATAGTTACACAATATTAAAAAACATCGCATAAATGAAATTAATAAATTAGTTTTAAAATGTACGTTTGTTAAATAACTATTTTTATGTATGAAATTATGAAGCGTACAGTGGCACATCCATGAAGGACAAGGTTATTACTTTAATAAAAACTGGTTGTGTCACACTTTATTAAGTCTGTGAATAACACAGTATTTTAACTGTTTACTCTAGATTTATGAATACACGAAATAAAAAGTGTAAAACTTTTCACTTCAGCAACATTTCCTATTAACAAGGTTTAAGTATTTACTTATTTTTCTTTTTAATTAAAGAAGAGAATTTACGACTCACTTCTGAAACTTCATTACTTGCTGGCTGGCCTGAATTAGCAAAAACCAATTATTACAGCCTATTTTTAAGCCCACGTTAAATTTTCCATGTTCTGGGTGCTTCCATCTCGCACTTCTAAATTAGAACAGACTAATTTTAACTCTGAAGTTCTGCTTTGGTCCCGCAAATTTTCTGTTTTGTTTTTTCGTTTGCCTCATAATTGTAATATCCACTTCAAAGCTAGGCGTAAAACAGCATGAAAAGAGAACAACGGTTATTTTGAGTTGTCGTGGTACTTCGGATCAATTTTATCTGTGGCATAAGTTAAAAATTTCTCCACTTTTGTTATTGTCGCTTATCTGAAGCGAATATGTATGACGATGAATTATTTATGCCGTTTGACCTCTGATATCGCCATTGGGCTATCGTGAGGTTTATTGTTTGTGCCATATACAGTCCTTTTAAATTTTCCGCTCTTGTTTTGGCGGAAAATTTTTATCAATGGCTTTTTAATATTAAATTAGGTATAATCGACAACATGTTTGGCATGTCATAATTGGACGTAAAGTTATTTTCTTGGTCTCTAATTGTGTTAAATCTTGTTTGTGCGACTCGGTTTATCTTTTTTGTAAGCGATAAGAGAAGAGAAACAAATAAGTTTAGCGTAAATCTCCTGTTGTGGGCACTATCTTTAAGAAAACTATTAAAGTGTCCTGCAATGCAGCGTTTTTTTTTTCAGATATGTGCCGCTTGTAGGATTGTTCAAAATGATTTCTATACTCGTTTTGGTGCTTATTAAAATAACGAGCGTTCAAATAAAAACGTGGTCAAGTTGGTTCTGAAAATTTGGACGTAGGGCGTAGCGTATAGCAAATGAACTTAAACGTCATCTGTCATCTGTCATCTGAAACGGGCATTGTAACAAGAAAAGAAGGAAGCGGCCGACCTAAAAAGAGGACTGAAGAATTAAAAGAAAATGTCCAACAAATAATGGAAAATGCGCCAAGAACTTCTGTACGTGTTTTATCACAAATGCTCGCACAAATGGTGGGAGTATCAGTCGGTACCTGCCACACAGTGTTAAAAAAAGATTTGCGTTTGTTCTCCTATCGTTTAACTTGTCAGCAAGAACTTCATGAAGTTGATTTTCCGCGACGAGCTGTATTTTGTGAATGGTTTTTAAACAACTACAGTGAACTTAATAATATCACCTTTTTTTCTGATGAAGCCTGGTTTCATTTAAGTGGTTATGTAAACTCACAGAATATGAGAATGTGGTCTTCTGAAAAACCAGATAACTTTTTTGTCGAGGGCCCTCTACACGCTCAAAAAATTGGAGTGGTGTGCTCTCAATCGAAGGAGGATTTATGGACCTATTTTTTTTAATGGTACTCTTACTGCGCAAAGGTATAGAGAAGAAATTATCGCTCCTTTTGTTAACCAGCTGGAAGAAAACGAAATTACAAACTTTTACTTTCAACAAGATGGCGCAAGGGCACATACGGCAGGCGAGATGATGAATATGTTGAGGGAAGTTTTCCAAAATCGACGATAAGTCTCAATGCTGAAAATGAATTTCCACCGAGGTCATGTGATATTACGCCTATTGATTTCTTTTTGTGGCCTTACCTTAAAAACACTATTTTTGAATTGCCTATTCCTGATTTAAACCATCTGCAGGCACGACTTATAGACAAGATTCGTGAAATTAACAATACCCCGAGCATCTTAGAAAATGTCTTTAATTCTTTGAGGAACAGGTGTGAAAAGTGCTTGGAACAAGGAGGGGGACATTTTCAGCAGCTGCTTTAATATATTGTTATAACAAGGAGGAGGACACTTTCCGCAGCTCCTTTAATTGTTTGTTATTGTTATCACGATTATTCTTTAAAATAAAGTTATATTGTCATTAACGTTATTGAAACTGACAGCTGCTATACAGCTCGTTGAGAAATGAGGTTAAGTTGGTCGCTATAAGCTACTCCCTACGTCCAATGTGTCAGAGCCAACTTCGACCACGTTTTTATTTGAACGCTCGTTATCTACCAAATAATAACGCGTATAAAAAGGTACATTATATTTAATTTATGAAAAGGAATAATGGGCTAGTCAAAAACGTGGTATGTTAAGATCCAAATCCGACCCTTATATCGTGGCATTTCCGTAAAAAAGGCGCCCAAGCGCGGTGACGTGAATCAGTACAAAAATTGTGAGTTTCAACCGGCCGAAATTTAGATAAATTATGTTTCTAGTGGACAGGAAGTTGCATAACGTCCACAACAGTTTGTAAAAATTGGCCGTTATTATTTTATTATGTGCGCTACGCAAAGAACTTTCATTCATCCATTCATAAATTGTTCCAAACAGATACTCTGAATATCGTTCACGACTGCCACCGTTAAATAAACAGTTTAAGGTTGTTAAATAGTACTCTCGTACTCGTATTGCTAAAGTTTATTAAATTGGGTTAAGGTTTCAAATGATTGAGCTGCAATAAGCTGGGAGATAAACAGCTCTTCGTTCGAGCAATGGATATACAGGGTGTACTGCATAAGAACTGACACGGGGCAGGTGCATATAGGGGTGTCCAAAATATTGTTACTTAACCAAACTTACCTATATACAAAGTTGCACCCCTGAGGAGATATTAGCCCTCAAAGCGGGGCCCTAAATTTCGAAAAAAATTAATATCTTTGCAACACTTTTTTTCATTGACCGAATTGAAAAATAATAAGATTAATTCACAGCAGAATTTAATTTAAAATTTTTTTTACTCTTGTTAAATTTTAAAAAACTGGTTTTCAAGAAAAACCGTATTAAGTGAAATAAGATTTTAACAGTGTTTATTAGAAAATAATTGAAAAGTCAGTAGGCAATGAATTTATCTTTCAAACTTGTCAGTTAGTAATAAAATTATTTTATTTCAACAATTGCCTCTGATTATTGTTGAAAAAATTAGTTTTAATATTTATTTATGTTTTGCTTAATACAATATTCTCAATGTAACTTATAAATAAACAAAGAAAATCGTTTTTTAAAAATGTAGGTCCTATACAAAGCGAAATATGGTTAGTGGAAGGGGACTTGTTTTGGGGGGAATATTCGAATCGATGTATTCAACGTTAAATAACAGAAAAAGGATTAATTTTACGTGTATAACGCTTGAGGAGTTTTTTGTAGTACTCAAAAAGACCTTCAAAATGAGCACTTAATTCGAGCAAAATTGAAGGAGTTATCGTCAGAAAGGAAAAATGAGCAGTAAACGCTGTACCATTTCCATCAAAATTAAAATTAATCGTAGACCCTTTACAATTAATTTTGTTTTAGTGTTTTTCATACGATCCTGAAGTTCGACCGGTTTAGAATGCGTATTTATTTAATAATGTACGGTAAAAGTTGAAAACGTATTTTTTCATTATTAAAAAAAAATTGCGTTATTTATATAATAACTCTGAAACAATGAAAGATACGTAAAAAATGATAGACAACAAAAATGTAGCTTTTTTTCAACAAATATTTTGCTTTTTTATTCCTATAGCATACAAAATAAAGGAGTTATCGCCGCTTGAAGTATCCATTTTAGTGAAAAAACGACCTGTCTCGAGCCCTTCGATCATTTCCCTTTAAAAAAGGAAGGACTTAAAAGGTTTTATATGCTAACGATCAGCTACAGCTCTTGAAATTATCTTTAAAATGCTTTTTTGTAGGATACTGTAGCTTCAAAATTAACCGAGTTATGGTAAAAAAACCAATGACATTTTTTCGAAACAAAATAGGCTTTCTCATTTTTATATATTATACAGGGTGTTTCTAAAATAGGGTTCCAAACTTCTGTTGCGTTTATAACTCATTAAAATAAGCCAATGCCCTAAAACGCACCCTTAGGAACTTATATGCCCTTAAAAGGGCTCAAACAAAACTGTTTTTTTTTTTCTGTTATTGACAAAACGGTCGCAAATAAATAGAAAA